AATTAAAGAGATGTTTTGGGATTTACCTGGTATTACAAATTTTGTTAAACTACAAAATTTTAAGTAAAAATCAGAATTCAGTCTCAATTAATAATAATTAATACAACACATTTTTTCATATAAAATTACCAATTTCGGCCCACACTTGTAAGTTTTAATTTTCTAATTGGGAATGTAAAATTATGTTTTGAAACGACATTGTTTTTAACAAATCTAACGCAATTATGCAATTTTTAAATTCTACTAATAATTTGTAATTATATAATACCAATAATTAGCAATTTATCGGCAATTAGTGCTCCAATTAAAATTTCCACAAAACAACAATTTTGCATTACGATACGAATGACAAAGTTTTGTCGATTTTCTTGTGTTTATTTTAAATAATAGATAATTTAGAAGTAAGCATAACGGTGCACTTTCCGTCCTTGTGCAGAAAAAACACAAGTATGTCAAGTAGGCTGTGCCTCAGTTTTATCACTTTTCCGGTCAACCCTCCTCTTTACTTAGCAAACAAAGCTGGTTTCATGACCCCTCTTTGTTTCTATTTTAATTTCTTCCCACACAATTTCCTAAATTAACATCAACTATCGAAAAAGTCTCACCTAATCACATTGTTCGGTAGAAATGTTACACAATTAACTCGAAATTATGATTTATTTTATTAAAACGGTTGTAACTTCCTTAAATAGTTGCCTAAAAAGTTGCGACATTGTTAAGAAAACAGTTGCGACCATTATACAAGTCGTTATATCAACAAAAATGATACAGTGTAGGAATTTACATCTTTTGTCGTCAAATATTTGAGTAAATAAGTGTCAAGGTAAGAAATTTCGAGTAGTTGGAAAAATTAGCGAGTCTTAAACTTTCTAGTAAAGAAGGTTACAACGACCTTTCCCGGCGATGACATTTTAAATCATTTTCTCAACTTTCCACAAATTTCCACCGATCTTATGCAAGATCGAATCAATAATAATTTGCGACTCAAACCTACGAATTATCGAAAATGGTATGACAAGTTCGTGTGAGTCACCCAAAGGCAATAACAACAGAAAAAAAATTAAATAACGACCGTTATACAAACTCTCACTCATTCAAATTTCATTTTCGTTCGAATTTTTCGCATCTTGTTACTCAACCAACCCACGCAAATCTCGAATAAACAACAGAATGTCGTCGTCAAGGTCGAATTTGCATTCATCTGTCTTTCACAACATTTGCCTCCCCTTGTGCCGCCATTACAGCGCCGGGATGCCTCCCCTCGCGGCGCCATGTCGATCTAGACGTAATATGGCGTCTTTGTGTATGCAAATCCGGGCGTTGACTCCTCTGACCTTGACTTGAAGGGCCATCTTGACACGAAATTCCCCTCCTTCCGGCTTGTATTTGGAAGGAAGGAAACGGGATTATCGTATCCGGTCACTAGTTGCATATTTATCGTCGATAACATATGCTAAACATGTGTTTTTCTTTGTAAAATCGCTCAGTGGGAATAGAGATCGGCTTTAGAAAGTGTGGGTGTTTGAACCAATTGTATTATGTTATATTGGCGTTATTATAAGCGGTGCTCGAGGCGAAAATTTCCAACCGATCTGATCAAATCTCTAAAGAACATAACGAGAAAGCCCACTGGCGACACTACCCCCGCCACAAAATGGCGACTGAGGGGAGGCAAACACGTGACTAGTGTTTCCATAGCAAAATTTTGTTGAAACAATAGAAAGCAGTCAACGTGACTAAGAAAACTTGTTTTTATTTAAACGTAAATCATATTTTCGCGATTAGACAAATAACTGAAAATTTTATGGTCCATTCAAACCAAGGTCGGATTTTTGATAAATGGCTTTATTTTGAAAGGAGCTCTTGCTGACATTTCTAAAATTGTCGAAATTTCGACATTTGAAATAGTTTTTTTGTGGTTATGTGAGATTAGCGTAAATTTTATGCCTCACGCGTATGGAAACAATGCAGAATTACAAAGACATTACGTCATGAGTTTTACTTTTTTATTATGGCCTACTTTAGACTCTACAGAATGAGACATCTGGGTGCCTCATTTTCGATATTTATTTGCAATTTTCTGGTCAATAAACTCTTCATTCTGGCCATAACTTATTTATAATCTTCTTCAAAAATAAATAAAGAAAAAAATCAAGATAAACTATACATTTTTATTATTAGAAAATACAAGGAATTTTGTTATTAATTAATTTTAAAATTTGGATATTCCTAATTGATCAATAAATATTCATAACCTAATCTGTCCAAAAAATTATTAAAATGTCTTATTTACTTTTCCACACAAAAACAAAATACCCACTTCTACTTTTGCGCACTCCTGTGGGTCCTAGAGACTCAAAAATGTGTATAAAACGTTTCGGTTGCAATAACGGTAATTTTATATTTTTCTTCTTTTAATCTGTTTACAGTCTTTTGTAACACCGTTTATTACTTATTCTATCGGCAATAAAGTCTTGCATCACTTTTATAACTTTATTTATTTATCGCAAAACAATAAAATTTTCGCAATGTGCTAAAACCCAATGTAAATTTTTCCAAATTTCGAAAAACTACCTGACTAGACACTAGTCAAGATCAAGCAACTTGTTTTGATCCAAACACAAAACTCGTTTCTCGAGCCATTGCACCTGTTCGTATCAAAATAAGCAATAAATTTGCAAAAAAAATATGGCGTCTCGAGGGGAGGTAGTCAACGTTGCCAAATCGAGAGTAATGGCGCTTGAGGGGAGGTTATGACTCAGCGTCAGGTCCATGACATTGATTATAAATCGACCTCAAGAATCAATATAAATCGCAGCCAAGGTTGACCAACCTAACCCATATAGGGAAGTAAAAAATCAAGTTGGCGCCGTTGTTGCTGTCACAAATAAATCGAAATGTCCTTTTGTTATTATCCTTATATGTGTGTGTTATTGAGAGCGATTTTTCTCTTTTGAGTCAGCAAGGTTTGTAGTACGTTTTTGGCGCGAAATTCAAGGGATGCGATGACCATGGACCAGTGTTGCCACTTTCACTCAATCGTTTCCTTATAAGGAGAGCCACCTTGACACACGACCAAACACTTGTCGTCTTCTCTAACGGGAGCAATGTTACGTCCATGGGATTTTGACAGGAAGGAAATTCATTCATGTTTGCTTTTTTTTACAGCACGCCAATGCGGTCAGACATCAAGCAGCCGAATACGTAGAGAAAAAGCAAACCAAGAAAATTATGACGAGGTCGGTGACGGGCAATTTGGCACATGCACAAAAATTAGTCAACATTCCGGAAGTCAAATACTTTGCAACGGCCAAACCACAGACTTTCTTCGCTAGAGACAACGTTTCGAATTTTATTAGATGGTGCAAGGACTCGTTACAGATCATAGAGTGCTTACTGTTTGAATCCGACGACTTGATTTTAAGGAAAAATGAAAAACACGTCATTTTGTGTCTTTTGGAAGTGGGAAGGAGGGCCGCAAAGTAAGTTTTTTTCTACAAAATTACAGCATTTTGCACTTCTACGACTATCGGAGTCTTTGATCTGATGATATCTAGAGAGATTTTTACGTCAAAACAAGAGCTGATACGATCTTTGTTAGATTAGACATTTATAATTTAATTATCTAGCAACAACAGGAATATCTCAATTGTTGTTTCACGAAAAAAAAAAACACACAAGATTAACACATTTTGTATAATAAAATAAAATCGTATTTTTTGAAATAAAAATCATAGTTGGTTATGACATTTTTGAAAAAAAAATGTTTGATAGTAGTTGGCCATGGTAAGACTATTTCACCTAAATAGTGTAAATAAAAAATAGACATATTTAAGCGGAAAAATTGTATCATGTGCGCAGTTCTGGGTGAATAAAAGCAATGTACTTAATTCTGTGCCACCCTGTATACATCAAGCTGTTGAGGAGAAGGTGGTTCCATTCAAAATTTATTATTTTTTTTGCAGATTTGGCATGTTGGCCCCCATGTTGGTCCAAATGGAGCGCCAGATCGACCGGGAGATCGCCGCCGACCAGAAAAAGCTCAATAACGGCCTCCACGACCAAAACAGTTTTGACGATGACGATGACAGTGATATGGAAGAAGAAACAATGTTAATTTACGGTCCTGTGCCCCAAATCGTCACTAACGACTTGAAAAGTCTCGACGAAATGGTGAGTTTACAATTTTATGAACGATCGATAAGCGACGTCGCGACACCCGGAATCGATTCAACAATAAATATCATCACAATTGTTACACAATTTTGTTGCCTATAGCGAAAAAAGGTTAATGAGGTTAGGTTAGATGCGCTATTGACCCGGTATCTCCTCCAACGGGGACGGCTTATCTCTTATGCACTTCCGGCTAGCCAATGGAATTGTTCTTTTGACTAATTACGATGGTAAATTATGGTATTTTGTGACACCGTTCTCGTGAATTGCCTTCAGGTGGGAAATATTGGTTTAGTGTTATTACGTTTACAATAACACGACTCGGGTGTGCTAATTACGACGCAAATATTTGATAAATTTGCCAATTTAATACAATACGAGTTTTTTTGCGTCTGTATTATATTCTTAATTAAAAACTGAATTATTTTCGAGGTGAAAATAAGAGCTTCTGAGCTGCAGAACCGCTAACTTTTTGATGTAACAAAAGATTATTGTTTCCATGTGAAAAAAATCAAAAAAAAAATAGTGTACCGAAATATTATTTTATATCTACCATAGATTTTAGAATTTGTGCAGAAACGTAACTTAAAAATTCCACGAACCGCCACTGGCTGATAATTTTTTGTTATTAACTTATTATTACCAAAGTTCTAACACTCTAAATATGATTTTTTTAAAATAAGCCATTTCAGACTTAATTTTGCAATTTGTTGCTTTATTTTTTTAATTATATCTTTCGACTTTATTGAATTTTTCGGTGACAAATAATTTGAAGGACAAGAGCAAAAATAATGCATTCCCAGACCAAATTTTACAATTTCCTTAAATTTTTAAATTTTATATTGCTATCATGAGAAAGATTAACAAAAATTAAAAAAGGATAGGAGAAAACGATATTACACTACTCCAAAAAAATAAAGGAACAAAAAATTTTCCTAAATTTTTTGGTGATTTTTGAAAGGCTGTAATTCATTGAAAAATGGTTGTGCCCATATTAAAAAAAAAACATTTTGAAGCTAGTTTCTAGTTTTGAGATCTTTTGGCAATTTTTTTTCTGTGCTACAGTTATCACGTAATTTTAACATGAGTTATTAATTAAATGTGAAAGAAAAGAAAATTCAAAATATTAAAAAAATATATACGAGTAT